AAAAAAGGAGGGAGGAGGAGGAGAATGAGAAGGAAAATGGAAAACAGAAGGAGGAGGAGGAGGAGGAAGAGGAGGAGGAGGAGGAAGAGAAGAAAGAAGAGGAGGAGGAGAAGGAAAAGAAGGAGGAGGAGGAAGAGGAGAAGGAGAAAGAGAAGGAGGAGGAGGAGAAGGAAGAGGAGGAGGAAGAGGAGGAGGAGAAGGGCTCCACCAATGTCTTTTCTTGGGGTTTAGGTTGAAGATGATGGAATCCTGAACATCTACAACCCCAGCTGGTCTGAAGAACTTACCACTGCATTCTGTTCCACATGGACTTTTGTCTTTTGTGCTTCAGCCTCAGGGACCCTTGGGAAAATTGAAGAATCCGCTCCTTTGCAAAATAGGTATATTTTTCCTAAAAGACAGGGGAAGCAGAACAATTTGATGTTAGTTAAAGTACAAGGGATACGTCCACACCCCCTCATGTTCCTCTGAGGAAAACAGGGCAGAGGAGCCCAGAGAAGTCCACAAGTCTTAAAGTTGCCAGGTCTGGAGACCCCTGAATTAGAGCATTGGATCTGTTGATGTCAAGGTTGGAGATATTCTAATGGGGTCAGCATTGAAGACTTGATTAAATAGATAGTTATGGCTGAGAGGGTCATTAAAAAAAACCCTCCTTATGCCCCCTTGCTTACATCCAAAATTCAAATTCAGAATAGAGCTGGAAGGCAGGAAACCCTTTACCATTTCAGTGATGGAACACCTACAACGTTTGAAGGCAAGTCGTTCCTCCGATTAATTATTCTCACCTTCGGGAAGTTTCTCCTTAATTAATCCAGGATTGATTCTCTCCTTGATTAGTTTCCATCCACTGTTTCTTGTTCTACCTTCTGGCGTGTTGGAAAATAGGTCGACCCCCTCTTCTTTGTGGTAGCCCCTCAAATACTGAAATACTGCTATCATGTCATCCCCTAAAGCTTCTCTTCTCCAGACTACCCGTACTCAAATCCTGCAGCCATTCTTCAAATGTTTGTCCATATCAGGGGTCCCCAAACTTGGCAACTTTAAGACTTGTGGACTTCAACTTCCAGTATTCTGGGAGTTGAAGTCCACAAGTCTTAAAGTTGCCAAGTTTGGAGACCTCTGATCCATCTGAACATTTCTCCCGGGGAAGATGATATGGCTAGTTCACACTTTTCGTCCTATATCAGAGGATATCCCAGGTTTCTACTCACCATCCGGCATCTTCACGATAACGCTCATCCGGCGACGGACGCAGTCAAAATCAAGGATGTTCAGAAGTTCGTATCTTGTTTTTTTTTTTTAAAGGGAAAAGAAAGAATATTTAGTGGTGAGGAACTGATGGAAATTCTAACCTCCGTCAAGCTCAAACAAGAAAAATGCCAAGCGTGAAGAAATCAGGACCATGTGTTGTTCCAATGAAGCCGATTTATGATTTAGGCTAAATCATAAATTATAATAAACAGACATAACTGGAATAATTTAAAATGTGTATGTCAGGTTTCCAAGTGATTAAATCCATTTAAAAAGAAAAGAGCAAAGTACAAGCAAGACTACGTGCAGAACAGAATTGCAGAAACATTCCAGGAAAACGGTATTAAAAAGCTATATTTGTATGTATATCTTTTTTTTTTTCCCCTCAGACACTATTTGACCTGGCTTTTTCTTTAAAAAAAAAAAAAAAAGGCGTCCCAAATATTGTGAACTCCTCTGGAATTTCATGGATTTCAGCTCCAAGGTATGACAACACAATGAATGAAAAGTTTAAAAGCTTCCTTCAAATCTTGACGGTTTCATCTGAGAACCCTGATGTTTTGATGAGGATGATGGTAACGATGTTCATGAGCAGAAGGTCCTTCCAACTCTGTTTATTCTGTGATCTGTTACCATCCTCATTTTTGGATGACCATTATCACCGTCATCTCATCTGCCAAGGTTGGACACCCATGGTACAGGATCTCCTCCTTGGTAGAAGGCCTCCTTCCGACTCTGTTTATTCTGTTCTCTGTCATCATTTTTGGATAATGATGATCACAATCATATTTACCAAGCTGGGGGCTCAGGAGCCAAACCTCAAGAGGGATTGTGACGGGCCACTTTGCTTCCAAACCCTGCCTAAAGTTTGAGTTATGTATCGTGAAAGGTTTCATCGAGAAAACATGGATGGACTCACGGGTGGACCTGACTGGTCCATCCTTCAACACCCCTTTCTTGCAGAAGGAGAAATGAAGGTGAGAAGTTTAGCATGAATGCGGCTAAATAAATCAGAGTGGGGGAAAAAAAACACCAAAATTAAACCAGCCGGTTCAATTCTGGATCCTTTCTGAAACTTAATTCGTGCTCCCGGGACTAAACCCGCTTCCTTGGAGGAGCCTAACCTGCGAACGGACCTACCTCTCAATTTGCTTTTTGGAATTCTCTACCGCCATGATGTTATTTTCTTGTCCTAGAAAAGTGAAACCATACCTGTCAATGAACAAAAAGGACAGAATGGCGTTGAAAAAAAAAAAAAAAACAATGCACACACAGTCACACACACTCACGTCTGTGCATCACGCAGGCACACCCTTTAGGTCCCAAAACAAGAAAACAAAACGAAACAAACAAGCAAACAAACAAACCAGCGGATTTTAAATAAAACAAAGTAAAATAAAGATTGCAGAAGAGGGAGGTTGACCGGAGAGGTGATTTGGAATAGGGTTGTTCATAGGCTATGGAGTGGAGGAGCCGGGAAATATCGCCCTGGGGCACAGAGTTCAAAATCTTTACCAACCTTTCAGCTCTTTTTCCTTTTGCCAGGATTGGTTCTGGGTTTTAGGCCCTATTTTCTCTAGTCCTCGACTTATTTAGGGACTGTTCAAACTTTACAGTGCTGAAAAGAGGGACTTCCAAAACCAGTCCCCGTGTCAACTCATAAAATATCTCTATGGTCTTTTTAGAGTTGCCAACAGAAAGGGAGAGGGGAGCAGTGCAAGAGCTTGCAAAACCGAAACTGCATTCCACAAATGCTTTCAAAGATAGTAACTAGGAGACTGAAGTTTCGGCTGTGCAAAATTTTAACTGGAGATCATGACTGATGACTCTGGGCTATGGATGTGTCCCAATGGAGAATAGGAATTATGATACACCCAGGGGGTGGGGGGAAAACCAGGGTAAAGGGTGGCAAGTGAATTATGTATCTCAGAGTCGGCTGCACCCAGGCAGTGCCGGGCATGTTAATTCCCAATAAATCCTTCCGAAGTTTTGGAAGTTTGGCTTGAGACTCATGGTTTAAATGGGGGTAACTGCTGGAATCCTGACACCCTGCGCTTAAAACCATCACGATGTCCCCATGGTCACATGACTCCAAGTTTGGGGGCTTGGCAACTGGCAGCTACTTATGACAGTTTCATGTTTTAGAGTCCACCTGATCACCGTTTCTGACTTTCTAGCTGGCTTCCCGCAAGCAAAAGTTGAAGAGGGAAGCCAGATTCACTTAACAACGGCATGATTCGTTTAACAACCGAAACTGAAAAGGTTGTAAATTTGGGTGCAACTCACTTAACAATCCACTCGCTGAGCGACTGAAGTTCTGGTCTTAATTGTGCTCATAACTCGAGGCTACTTGTTGTCAGGATTCCGGCAGTTACCCCAATTAAATCATGAGTCTCAAGCCAAGCTTCCAAAACTACAAAGGATTTATTGGGAGTTAACATGTCAGCATGACCTGGGTGTAGCCGACTCTGAGACACGTAATTCACTGTCACCCTTGACCCTGGTTTTCCCTCCACCCCTCTGGGTGTATCATAATTCATATTCTCCAATGGGACACGTCCATAGCCAAGAGTCATCAATTATGTTCTCCAAGTAGATTTTTGCAAGGCAGAAACTTCAGTTGCCTAGTTACAATCTCTGAAGAAAATATGAATGGGATGCACTTTTGATTCCAAACTGCTGCACCTGGTATTTCAAACTCCTTCCCCGCCACCTTCTTTCTGTTGGCAACCATAAAACAGGCATAGAAAATGTTTTATGAGTTGACACTTTTGTATTTAATTTCCGAAGTCAAAAAAGGAGACTCTGCCCTCATACATCAGAAACCACTTCAAAGTGAGGCACACGATTTTAACCTTTCACGCCCAAAAGCACAATCAGTGCGAGTGCCAGACCATACACTTACACTTCTGTTGGGAAACCTATCACCCTGCCAGGTGTTAATGGGAGTTCAGAATTTGCTCGGCGTGAGTTTTGCACCAACACGAAGGTTTATACAGGAAGTTTCTTGAATCAAACCCAAAGCCATCTTTGTTGCAGTCCATTCAGTTTTGTTCCTGGCACAAAACCACCTGGATTCATTTAACAATCACCTTCGCGTAACTGCTGTAGCGTTCTTGGAAATGACTGCCACAAAAAAAAGTATGAAAAATCGGGCGTGGTTCCGTGACACTCACTTAATGACCACTATCGTGGTAGGCTCAATTATGGTTGTAAGACAAGAACTATATATGTATAGGCTGGGGGCATGGGAACCTATGTCCCTGGTGAGTCAATCGTGCAAGATATCAAAATTCTCAGCACCCGAAGATGGAATTGGCCGTTCGCCAACTGCCTGCATGACACTGAAGTGAACCTGGGAGGGGAAAAAAGTAATACAGTGGGGGGGAAATGGCCTTACCTCTGAGCCCCCTGTAGCAAAGCCACTTCATCTGGAGAAGCTGCAACGTAGATTTGTGTCGTTTTGGGCTGCAACGTCATGGTATCGATTTCGTCCTTTTTCTGGACTTGAACCGTATGACAGAGACACAATGCTCGAAGGAACAGTTCTTCTTGTCTCTGGAAAGGAGGTAAACCAAGAGAAGGGCCTACATTAAACTGGGAGAACGTTCAGGTCCTACAGTCCAAGATGGCTACTGAACAAGGGGTCTGCTTCCAACTGTCCAATCTTTTCTGCCCCCATCTTTTCAACTGCCCAACTGTCCCATCGTATCCTTCACCCTTGATCTACCGAGCTGGGCAGTTGGGCGTCAACATTCTTAGCCCTGCCATATGTTGTAAAATATTAAATCAGCTTAACTTAAAATTAACCGGATAGAGTGTCCCTTCTCCTCACCCAGGTTAATGGTTAATGCAAGCAGGTATAAATCCAAGGGTGTCAGGGCCTATCCAACAAGCAGTGGTGGGATTCGAATTTTTTTTACTACTGATTCTGTGGGCATGGCTTGATGGGCATGGCAGGGGGAGGATATACTGCAAAATCCCATTCATTCCCCACCCCTCTAACCTGCTTTCCAGCTCCATTCTCTTATGCAGGGCAACCAGAGAAGACCCAGCCAATCAGCTGGGACTCAATGGGAGGCGGAGAAGAGATGGGGGAGGGGCCAGTCAGAGGTGGTATTGGCCGGTTCTCCAAACTACTCCAAATTTCCGCTATCGGTTCTCCAGAACTGGTCAGAACCGGCTGAATACCATCTCTGCCTACAAGGGCTACTGATCTTCAACTTCACAAGAAGCACTCTGCTTCTTCCTTATTGACTAGAGGCTCTCTTGAACAAGGACTTAAATCCTTTGTAGAGATCTAGAGAGGCCAAGCAGAGGCAGCTATGAATCCCACAAAAAGAGGCAATCTAAAAATGAAAAGAAGCCCAGAAGTCTTCTGTTCTCCAACCTCCAATTCTGGAAATGTGGAAGGGGAACATTGTACCTTGTCTGCTTTTCCTGTAGACCTCTTTGCATCCACTTGTGAAAAGGAATCACAGTATCGGTAGCCGTCAATGCTGCACTCAATGAATTCCATGGTGTTTTCTGTTAGAGTCCCCGTTTTATCCGAAAACACATATTCAACCTAGAAGGAAAAATAGAAGACCATTTGCTTTTTTTTTTTTTTTTAAGAGGGGCACAATTTTAGAACAGATTAGACAGGCACAATTTTGTGCCAGAGCATCTATGGGTTTTTTTCCCTTTCCCAATACTGACCTTTAAAATAAAACAAAGTCAGCAGTAACGCTTGTGCACGAAAGGGAAGTAATTTAAAAAATAAATTAAGCAGTGCCATCTTCAGTTCCCTTTTCCTCTTCCCTTCCTTCTTTTTAAATTTTTAAATTGTGTTTCAAGATATGACAAGTCCCAGAGGGAGAAACACAAATCTTGTTTTTAAATTGGAATTGAAACTGGAGACTAAAACCAAAGAATTGCAACTCACAAGCGTCTTTTCTCTAGAGGAAGGTCTCCTTGTTCAACTCCACAAAGATAGCTTCTTTTTGGAGAAGCAGCTATGGTAGAACAGTTCAACCAGATGGACACATACCCCCTGCAAGAGTAGCATTCGCCCTATATCCGATTTGAGAACCGTGATTCGTTTTGGTTGGTAACAAGAGGTCTACAGAATAATAGGACTTGGAAGGCACTTTGGAGTTCTTCCCAATCTGTGTCCATTACTGTTTGGTAACAACAGATACCATCTGCCTTTTCTGCAGAAGACCAGAGGCAAGAAGGGTGGAAGCAGGGGTGGGATTCAAAAATCCCAGCAACCGGTTCGCTGCCTGGTTGCTGGGTGGGCATGGCCTACCGGAACCTCTGGTTTGACCTGGTTTTTTGCCTTCCCCAGGGTCCGGAGCTTCCCTCGGGCCTCTGGGAGGGTGAAAACAGCCTCCCCTGGGCTCCGGAAGCTGGAAACAGGCCCGTTTCTGGGCCTCTGGAACTTCTGGTTCAGTCCATTTTTCCTTCATGCTGATCCTGCACTTACCTGCATCCAAAACAGGCCACGTGGAGACTCCTGGGAGGGGCGGGACAGGGTGGGCGGTGCCAGCCGGTCAGTTCAACTAGTGATTCAGCAAACCGGATGTAAATTTAACATCCGGTTCACCCAAACCAGTCCGAACCGGTAGAATCCCACCCTGGGTAGAAGACCAGCTAATATTTGCCTCTGTCGGATGGTAGGAAGTACAGGGAGACGTGACTCACCTGCCCAAGTTCTTCGTTGAGGTCAGAGGTGTTCACCAAGGCGCCTTCTTGGATATTTTCATCATACATCTCTTTGTCCCAGGTAATGAAGAAGGAGCCCAGGAATTTCTGCATCTCGACAGTCACATACATGGAGACCGGGATGATGAAGTTGAAGAGGACCATGAAGGACAGGAAATCAGTGAACATCTTTAGCAGCTGAAAAGGACACAGAGACACACTGAGTAAGAGGCATCAAGCCACCCATAAATGGAACAAATCTGAAGGTAGACAACCGTCAACCAACACAAGTCAACTGATCTACCTTGAAAGCTTCTCTCTCTCTTTGGGTTTTGGGGTTGTACCAGGGTTCGTCGTGATACGGGACACTCTGCCAGATGTATTTCAAAGTAGTGCATATGATAGCTTTGCTCACCAGCAGGCACAAGTAGAACAACAGGAATACATTGATTGACCTGGAAAGTCAAGCGTTCCAAGAGTTAGGGCGACACCCTGCGTTCCACAAACAGTACACACAAGGGGATGCGAGAACTTGCTCCTGGCAATGTCAAAGCACTGGCTTGACAGACATTAGATCGAAATCAGGGATGGGCAATGGATTTCCTCAACGGGCCACATGAGAACCTGGGGCTGCTGTGGAGGGCTGAACCAACATGGTGGTGAAGGTGGACATGGCAGGGGAGGAAGGATACTGCAAAATGCCATTCCCTCCCCACCCCAATAACCTGCTTCCCAGCTCAGTTCTCCTGTGCAGGGCAACAAAAGAAGACTCAGCCAATCAGCTATGGGTGTGGTTTGATGGGAGTGGCATTCTGTAGGCACAGCTTGGCGTGGCTTGGCGAGCGTAGCAGGGGAAGGATCCTGCAAACTGCCCATTCCCTCCCCACCCCACTAACCGGCTTTCTACCTCCGTTCTCCTGTGCAGGGCAACCAAAGAAGACCCAGCCAATCAGCCGGGACTCAATGGGAGGCAGAGAAGAGATGGGGTTGGTGGGGCCAGTCAGAGGTGGGATTGGCCGGTTCTCCGAAATTTCCGCGACCGGTTTTCCACAACCTGTCCGAACCGGCTGAATACCACCTCTGGTTGAAAGGATCCAACTTCAGGAATTACAGGACCCCTGGCCTAAGTCGCTAGGCCATCTCTAAATATTAATCCCCTCCTGAAGGTCTGAGGAGGGCATAGAAGAGACGACAATGTTTTGTACACAACCCAGACTCAAATAAACATCTCTTTTGTTTTGCTTTAAACCAATGTTTATAAAGACAAAGAATGGGGAGAGATACATTCAGCTTACTTTTCAACTGCAGAGCGTTTCTGAGTCTTCCCTTGGTAGTTCAATGCCATCTTGGTTTCCATCCCAGTATATACAGCGACTCCTGCAAAACAAGAGAGAGAAGCTCCTGAACCATTAAAGATCTAGAAAGGAAAAGAAAAAGAGAGAGAGAGGGGGGTGGGGAGAGAGGGAGAGAGAAAGAGGCAGCAATGTGGTTAGGCACAATGATCTATCTTCAACATGCCTACTCCAAAAGAAATCCCAGACATGCCCAGGATCGCGACTCTCGAGGAAATCAATGGATGCGAAAGAAAAGCAGGAAAATGCTCACCGTAAATCTTTGGGGTGGTTTTCAATTTTGCTCCTTTCAGCAAAAGGTTCTCGGGACCCAATGGTCTAAAAACGAAAATGGAGGATCAGATCACTGGTAAGAAGAGAAGCAACTGTTGAATCACTGAATTCATTTAGCAGAGATGATTAAACTGCTTTGATTACAGGAGGAGAAAAAAAAAACACAGTTGCATTTGTTTTTAGTTGGAAACCGCTTCTGGACTTTGTGCTTGAGGTGTAAAAAAAAATGAAAATGTACTGATTAGCTCTCTCTCTCCCTCCCTCCCTCCCTCCCTCCCTCCCTTTCTTTCTTTCCCCTTTGCCCTACACTTTCCCTTTCTCTTCTCCTTCTTTTACTTTCGCACTATTTTCTTTTCTATTTGGGAGAATTTTATATTATGAACTAATAAAGGATGGGAAGCAAATGGAAAATTCCGACGGCCAACCATTGGTGGAAGAAGAAAAAATCCACAACTATTTAGAACATCACATAGCTACAAAGTCCATTACGACAACTCAGTATACGGGGAATGTGTAAAATTAATAGGTGGGGGAGAGAAATCAGAGGCAGGGATTACAGGACTACTTCAAAAATTTGGATGACAGCTAAGATCATGGCATCCAAAAGTGACAGTCTGTATCTCACAGCTGATATCTAAGGGATCTTCTTGATTTCACAGCTGATATCTAAGGGATCATCTGGATTTCTCCACCCTCAATGTGATAACCCTTGATATTAAAAAGAAGCTGTGCCAGGCTTTGAAATAGAGCAGATCGGAAAACATATCTTATCAGAAATATTAGAACTTTAGGGATATAGGCTAAAATAACACACTATTAGAAGCCCAACAATGTTGCACTTATACCAAAGAGAATCAAGGTGAAGCCGCTTTGAGTTTCTTCCTTACCCTCCCATTTTCCCAGATTAGGTTCGTGTTTCCCCATCCTAGCCACACATACTATACCTTCTTCCAGGTCTTTTCCATACTCCACTACAGCTAATTATTTTACAAGATGTTAAATCCCAATCCATCAAGCGAAGGAACCCACCTGGCTAATGGCTCTGGTTCATCACTGTAGATGTTAATTCTGCCCACAAACCTGTTGGGACATGCATAGAGAAGGATGTTGATGTAGTACTGTCAATGTCTCATTTTCATACGGGAGTTACAGCAGTTTAAATTTAAAGGAAGGAAGTGAGGAGTGGAGAAGCAGGCTTGGTAAAGAAATAAAGACTATCAATCCGTTGGGCTTTCCACAAAAAGAGAAGGCCTCCACATCAAAATTCACCTGTACAAATCTGGCTGGGGTTGTTCACATTCTACAGTGGCAACCAAACTGTTCATGGCTTCAATTGTATTCATCTTGGCTGTATCTTGCACAGCGTAGTGAGTCTAGAAAAGCGAAGACACACAAAACTGAAGAACCACCAGCAGCCAACCAACTCCTGCTAATTTTAAATCCATAATTTGAACCATCGTTGAGTGGTATTCATTTGTATTTTGTCAGCTGCTTCGGGTTTTTAAGATTACAGCTGTATGACCATTTTACTGGATTTCTTTTTTTACAAAAATGTGCAAATAAAAACTACCTTAAACTAATAATCAGGCAAAAAGACAAAGAGTAAAAAGAGAGATAGAAAAGGAGGTGCAGAAAGATATAAAGTAAAAGGAAAACTTGACTATTCTCTTCCTCTTTCTATTTCTGTTTCTCTTTTTCCTTTGTCTTTCTTCCTGCTTTCTCGTCTAAGAGCTCTTTAGAGTAAAAGAAGAGACGATTTTTAATGATCCACCCAAGAAATGCAAGCGTTAATTTTATGCAGCAATGAGTGAACAAACTTTATGATGGGAATCAAACCATTCCATGATTAATGTCAAAACTTCTTGGCTGTTCATTAGACGCTCAGTTCCACTCTGATTTTTAGGCATTTACAAGGAACACAGGAACTACAAAAAAAAAAAAGGTAGGAGAAAGCAAGGCCCATCTTCTAGTATCACTTTTATTTCCATGAATGTCTCTGAGTTCACCCTGTCTCTTACATATCTCTAGTGAGCAGCTGTAGACCTCACTGCTCTGTTTGGAAGGATGCCCAGAAGAGAAAACTAAGGACATCTAGGTGGATTAGAGGGTTGGATGGTTTGTGAGAATGGCCTTGGGGGATGGGGAGGGAAGAGCCACAAAGTAGGCCATGATCAAATAAGAGGCAGCTGTGCCCATAGAAGTAATGGAGCATGGCAAACATCTTACAAGGGGTGCGTCTTAGTTTCTTGAGTTGTAAAGACAGAGGAGAGCTTCAGATTTGCAAGATTCTGTTACTGCAACCTTACAATAAAGTGGAATTGGTTCATCTGGGCATGCTTCCTGTCTGGACTATCTCACAAAGCTGATATCAGGTATATTGGGAGCAACCTCCCCCTTTGCTTCTAAGATATGACTATTTGGCAACCAGCTCTGCCCTCACCGCGGCGGCCATTTTAGACAAGCTTCTCCATGTCAACCATTTTGCAAAACTCTCCGTATCCATAAATCGATAAATGTGTCTACTAGGCACCATCCCTCCCCTCATAGCTTGGGCTAAACCTCATAGGGACAATCCTTCAAGATAAACCAGATGCTTATACCATCCTTCATTTTGACTCTATATCTGGGGGCCCAACTCATTTCAGGACTGAATAATTGCCTTGCTAACTGATCGTGGGAGACATCTCAAATTTCTTTTTAAAAAGGACTCAAGAACTTGAAGCTGAGATGGTCAGGATTGTCCGAGACTGAGGTTTCAGAATGATGTTGGAAAAGGAGGTTTCACACCTTGCAGGTAATCAGGAAACGTCTTTAAGAAGGTAACACGGGATTTAAAAGTTCCTCTTTTGTGTGTGTTTGTGTGTGTATGTAGGAGTTCCTATTTCCAGAAACTGCTCAGGAGTTATAAATCAATTCTGTCAGCAAGATCTCTAGCGGCAATCCATCTTCATAAACTGAACTCTCACCAATGTATCCCATGCTCATTATTTTGACATTTTCCTCCTTTTCAGTTGAATGAGACATATTTCTCTTGCCAGAAAAATTGGGAAATGATAAAAAAAAAGTGGGGAATGATAAATCACATATGAGGAAGGAAATATTTTTTACAAATGAGGGTTGAGCTCAAAGATCCTACCCAGCTACAATTACACCTATGATGGAAATACTTTTTCTTAAAAACAAAACTTTTTTTTTTAAAGCATTTTATACCCAATCTTTTCTGCATATTTGGATCTGTTTTGTTTTCTAAGATACCTGCAGGAAGCAAATTCATTGGAAATCAGCATAAGAGAAGTTCATTCAGGTGTTTATTCTGGATAGAACAATCAACTGTGTGTAGAAAGGATGGATGTCGCAGTTAAGAAACCAGCTCTAGAAACCAGGAGACTCTGAAGAGTTCTAGCAGGAGACAAGGGCGAGCCGCCTCCAGATCTCTTGCCAAAAAAAACGCAACGGCAGGTTCACTTGTCCACTTACCTTGTGATTTGATTCTCCATCTAGACTGGCAGTCGTGACGTAGCAGGTCCCTTCCTTGTTACTTGAGGCCAGTAAAACTAGATCACAAGGAAAAGTGTCATCTGCTAGCACTTCTACTATGTCGCCAACCTTCAAAGCCAAAACAGGGAGTTGTAATTTTTGTAACAACAGTCTGTTCATCAGTCTCTCTGTCAGTCAGTCTCTCAGCCTCTCTGCCTCTGTGCCTGCCTGCCTGCCTGCCTGCCTGTCTGTCTGTCTGTCTGTCTGTCTTTCTCTTTATCAATCTATAAATCTACCAATCTACCAATCTACCAATCTATCTATCAATCTATCCATCATCTATCCATCATCCATCCATCCATCCATCCATCAATCTATCCATTATCTATCTATCCATCTATCTATCTATCTATCCCTCATCTATCCCTCATCCATCCATCCATCCATCCATCCATCCATCCATCCAAACAGTCTGTCTGCCTGTCTATCTTGGCAACTTGAAGGTGTGTGGGCTTCAAGTCCCAGAACTGCTAGCAAGGAATCTCTGGGAACCGAAGCCCACGCATCTTAAAACAGTATTATTATTATTCAGTACCAAGGAGAAACTTAGCCCCTTCCTGTTACCTTAATCTTTTCACACTCCTTCTTCACACTGTCTCCGTTTTCAATCACAAAAACTGCGCTTTTGTTGACTTCCTTGTCCGCTCTGTGCCGCAGCCAGTCCTCATATCCCTGAAGAAGCAAGCAGGTGGAATATACAGACCAGAAAACCAGAAAAATTCAATCTCAGAATGGAAGGGACAGAAGAAATGGGCTCCACATGTTTTAAAAACAGCCTTCCAGAGACATATCCCTTTCTCTCTAGCTACAGGAGCTCCCAACTGTAGCAAGATAAACTTGGAATATCAAGAAAATGGGTTCAGAAGGAGTGGATAGAAACCATCCTCTGTTTGCTGGGGATAAGGAGCAAGACTTACCTGTTTAATAGCTGTAATAATAATCACAAAGAAGAGAGGAAGGCCACTGGTCACTGGGCTGGTTGGTGTGTCCACTATCACCTAAGCAAAGATGCAGAAAAGCTACAGGATGGACCATTTTAAAGGCAAGAGTTATTCCTGGATATCCTCAGGGGTGGGCTTCAAAAATTTTAGCAACAGGTTCTCAGCCCGGTTGCTGGATGGGCGTGGCCATGATGGCATGGCCTAGTCAGCCTCCTGCACCACGGTGGGGCGAGTGGAGTTTTTGCCCTCCCGGGGCTCCAAAGGCTTTCCTCTAGCCTCCAGGAGGACAAAAACAGCCTCCCCAGGTTCCAGAGGCTCTCTGGAAGTTGGAAATGGGCCCATTTCTGGACTTCCCGAACTTCCAGGAGGCCCATTTTTCGGGCTCCCCGAACCTCTGTGCATACCCTGCACTTACCTGCATCCAAAACAGGCCACCTGGCAAATCCCGGGAAGGACAGTGTGGGGTGGGCAGGGCCAGCCAGGAGTGGGATGTGGGGGTACTCCAAACTGCACAGAATCTTAGCTAGGGCCTCTCCCGATCACCTGTGAACCCCCAGCAGCCCAGCCCTGATTATCCTTCTAAATTGGGTGCCAACTGATGGAAGCATTTCTCCAACAAGGGAAGAGGTGATCCAAAGTCAAAAAGAGCTTTCCCAAGCATGTTATAATGCAGGGGTGGCCAACCTTTTGGACCTCAGGGACCACCAAACTCATAATTTTAAATCCTGCGGACCACTAGTACGAATTTTGCCTGATGATGGCTTGCTGAGGTTGGTGGGAAAGTCGGTCCCATATTCCAGAGCTGCAGTAGTCACAGGACTGGCCCTTTGGTCATCCCGGAGCAGCTGCTCCTCCACCTGGGTGCACCAGCCTACCATGGACTGGAGGAGCTGCTCCGGGATGACCAAAAAGGCCAGTCCTGGGACTCCTGCAGCTCTGGAATATGGGATCAACTTTCCCACCAACGTCAGCAAGCCACCCCAGGGCGGATTTCCCTCCCCGCCGTTGGTCTTACCTTCCAGTTCTAACTCGTGTGGCTCTAGTCAAGGTAAGGTTTGCGCTTGGCTGAAGGGTGGGGGCCAGCGGGTGGGTGGGCCATGTGGGCGGTGCAGCCTTGTGTCCCCGCCCAGCCTGGATTAATTGCTTTGGGGGGTGCTTTGGGGGGGACATTTCTCTGTGGACCACCAGTGGTCCCCAGACCACCGGTTGGTGACCACTGTTATATAATGTGTTCTTATTTGCTTGTTGGAAGACCATCAGGAATTTGTGATGGTCTTCCAGAGTGATTTTGCTGAAGAATCTGCCAGTTGAAGGCATCTTGGGAAGCATCCATCCCAGATCATTTAAGAGTCAAAAGATCCCTTTTTGGCCCCAAATTTTCATGTGGGAACACCATTTCTTAACGATTTGCCCTAAAAGCACCCGGCCTGCCCCAACACAATTATGCCAGAGGGTTGATCAAAATCAAATCATTGACGGAAAGATTATGCAAATAGCCACGCGTCTCTTCTGGCATGGTTTCTACCACAGGTTAATACATTCTAGATTAAGCTACCTGTCATGGAAAACATGAGAAATCCACACCCAGAACTTGATTTATCTCAAGTTATGTAAGATTCCTTCACTTGTTTCAAAGCCTTCCAGGCATCGGGGAAGACGCCAGGTGATACCATGGCAACCTATAAGGAAATAGCAGAAACTCTATTTCTTTGGGGTGCAGCGAGAAGAGAAATGGTGTCAGGTCGCCTGCTTGGGCAGGGGTTTGGACCAGATCAGAGGTCTCCAACCTTGGCAATTTTAAGACTGTGGACTTCAACTCCCAGAATTCCTCAGCCAGCTTGAATTCTGGGAGTTGAAGTCCACAAATCTTAAAGTTGCCATGGTTGGAGACCCCTGGACTAGATGACCTACAAGGTCTCTTCCAACTCTGTTAACAGAATCTAAACCCAGAACTGAGGACAAAAAATAAAGGTCACTGTTTTTTAAAATAATAATAATAAGAAGAAGAAGAAAAGCAACCCAAACCATATCTGTTGGTGCTCTCCTTCTTTTAAAGTAGTCTTACCTGGACAAGGAAAATGACAAGAAAGTAGAAATTGGCAATTCTTCGGAACTGTTCAAACAGATTCTTGGGAAGAAAATTCCAGACTGTATACTGCAAGGCAGAAACAAGATGGGATTACATCTTAATACCACAAAAGGGCAGATTTTACAGAACTCTTCTGGAATTGCTGAGCTCCAGATGTGTGGGGGGTTTTTTTAAACAAATTTTTTTAAAAGCATTCTTGATTTCTTTGAGAATGTATCCATCAACCCTACGAATTCTGTTAATTTAGACTATTACCAGCCCACCAGGGAAAAAATACCATTTTCAAAATGACTTTGAAAAAGTAAAAAGTAGGAATGCAAACCTTAATGAATGTATATGCTCTAAATTTAATATTTAATATGAATTTAACATGCTGCAAAATTTTTGGCCCAAAAGAAAATCAGGAAGTGTGATGGGGTGAACTATTTGATTTGTTTATAGATTTTTAACTTCAGCTTCCTCAAAAAAGACAATTCTATGGAAGTGCCGCATTAAAATGGAAAAGTAACTCAATAAAATACCTCAGGGTATAAAGCTTGGAAGAAAATTAACTAACCCAATGTTTATTAAACACACAAATGGACATAAATACAAATACACATATATACAAATACACATACATATATAGAGTTGACCTTTCCTGAAATAAAATTAAAAGTCAGCAGTTACACTGAAAACTAGCCTAAAAAAAGATTGCAAAAAGCAGGTTTCTACTAACTGTGGAAGACAAGATTGTCCAAGCTGGTCCTTTTCTAAATCGGAAAACTTTGCAGACTTTTGGGAAGTCTGGATACTGTCTCAGTTCTACAGCTGGGTTCAGCCAAAATTTAATCTGGCTGTTTGGAGGCCAACCTATTGTTTGAATGCAGCTGGCTTGGTCTCAACCATTCAAATAAGTAGAAAGGGGAGATATTTATTAATTGTACGAGTTATTCTCTAGCTTGTGCTAACTAAGCCACATTTTAGCGTATTATGCGACCCCAGATTTTGTACTGTTTGGAATTAAAATCAGAAAACAATAGGGTTAGGTTCACTAATCAAGTTGAGACTCTAAACCAGGGGTGTCCAATCTTGGCAACCCTAAGACATGTGGACTTCAGCTCCCAGAAGTCCTCAGCCAGCCATGCTGAGGAATAGTTGGCTAAGGCTGCATGAGTTGAGGTCTACAAGTTTTAAAAGTTGCCGAAGTTGGACAACCTTGCTCTAAACCAGGGGTGTCCAACCTTGGCAACTTTAAGACTTGTGGACTTCAACTCTCAGAATTAGCTTAGCTGGCTGGAGAATTCTGGGAGTTGAAGTCCACAAATCTTAAAGTTGCCAAGGTTGGACATCCCTGCTCTAAACTCTTTGATACTGGAATTGCAAAACCAACAAGTGTGAAGATCTGAGGACCATCCCCATATCTTAAGTCAGACTACAGCTTCCATCATTCCCAACCAGCATGGGCTATAACCTGGGAAACCCTGGAAGGCAACCTGTTGTGGAAGGACTTTCTAATCTTAATATAAGGAGGCATTGCATGGATCACCCTCGAGCTGGCCATGGCGCAGAAGGATCCAACCAATCAAGTTCCATCAATCCATACCTTGGAGGAGACAATTTGATTGGAGCAGAACTTTTGGGGCACATAAGCTTCAATATGAGGTACCAAGTGGTGGCCAACCACTATAGTCCGAGTCCCAAATCGCTTTTCTTCCCCAGCGAACTAAAAAACAAGAAAAAAGACCCAATGAAGTTGGCAATGATCCATATGTTTGTGTGTGTTAATGTTCTTCGAATTGGATCTTCCACAAGTGCAGATTTATGCGTGAAAGTTCCTTACCAATTAATAAAGGCAGTGATTTCTGGCAATGCCCTAATTAAATCATGACCCTCGAGCCAAGCTTCAAAAGAATCCAAAAGATTTATTAGGAGCAACATGTCAGTATTATCCCACTTGAAACCAACTCTAACACATGTGATTTATGGTCACCTGTGACCCCGTTTCCCCCCTCCCCTTTGGGGGTGTTATACATCAGATTCTCCAACAAAGCTTGTTCACAGGCTGGGTGTCATCAATCACACTCTCCAATGAAGGATTTTCAGGGGCAGAAGATCTGATAGCCTAGGCTACAATCTTTATAAGATAAGCATGGAATGTGTTTCCGGTTTCCCCCACCCTCTCCTTATGGCAACTCAGAAACAGGCATGCTTTACGAGTTGACAGGCAGCTTTCTCCAATTGGTGCTGTCATATTGTGCAGAGGGAACAAATCCCACATTTGTCAGCTAAGATGTGTAAGCCAAGAATGGACAGCCACATCAATGCACTGACAGAACACCACATTGGAAGCATCTGGTTTAAGCAGCAGCTGTTGAGCATGCCGTTCACATTGATTTCTGGGAAAATGTCCAACCGTTCGCACATCTGAGGAAAAGCAGCCTCTCCAATCTTGAGATATCCAGCAGAAGCTCCTCTCCCTCCCAAACAGCACTAATTCTGAATTATTTTCATTCTTTTAAAGCAGTGTCTAGAATTTCTAGGCATTGGATGATTTTGGTCTTTGTTATTATGCAGTTTTCCTGTTGCAACATTTGTGCGATAGGTAGTAATTACAGGTTTTCCTCAACAGCAGAAAACCTTGTGCCAAAAATTGGCGGTGTTTCTCTCCCGTTTTCAGTTCTAACCGAGCCATCCCACCCATTTTTTTTTCTTTTTTTCTGTTTTAAAAAAAGAAATGTGTATCCTGCCTTTCCATCCAACTGGAATCCACAGGGCAGCAAAGAACAACATCAAACAAAGAATTAGCACAGTAAATGTTTTGAAAATACAAAACACAAAAATAAAAACATTCCCACACAGAGCTTCCAAACTGCAGAGGTAACAAAATGAAAGAGGTCAGTAGAATTCCCCAATCTCTGAAAACTGAATTATGTATGCATTTCGCTGATCTGGAAAACATCCGGTGGGAAAAGATGGCCCTATTCATCTCTTGTCCCTCCTGTTTAGATGCTAGATGGAAATTCAAAAGAACAATCTGGAAGCAAAGGCAACCCACTACCACATTGTTGTCAAGAAAACAACATAAACATGGGAACCGACAAGTGTTATTCAACCGGATGGCATAACTGGTTTAGTTATGACTTCCAGCATGAACAGGAATGCTGGTCAGAAGTGAAAGGACAACAGTTCATTTGATAAACTACCAATTTCTGAAGAACTCAGATTTAAAGATCCAGAGAACATCCATTTTAATTATCATAATACCACCCCACAGCAGACCCGAAAGAACAAATGGACAATTCTGGACTTTTCTAGATCAAATCGAAATCCCCCCAGAAGCCTGCCTGAATCCCAACAAGGCTGCCCAGAAGACCCAACTCTACCACCAACATAACAGACTCCAATCTCATGACAATATTTGCTGTACATCAGAAGCATCTTCACCAAAACCATCTTCCCCAGCATTATACGCAAGCACCTTCTCCCCCAGAAGCTTTCTAACCATTCTGGAGGCATCTCTAGTTAAGTTCTGCAGAAGTTCCTCAGTGCCAAACCCATTTTGAACAGGAGATGTTCCACAACAAAAAAACAAACAAACCAATTTTCTTCTGCAACATGCCCTAACACATAGCCATCAAGGCATGTTGTAGAGAAGGCATGTGGGTTTGAAGCTGTACAGCTCAAAAATTGCCCCAGAATCACATTTGGTTTCAGAGATTCAAACTTTCCTAGTTGCGGAAAAGTTTCCACGTGGTAGGTTTAGGTTTTAAAGTGCCAGGAAAGGAGGGAGGGAAGGGGAGAGAGGGAGAGAGAGAGAGAGAGAGAGAGAGAGAGAGAGAGAGAGAGAGAGAGACCTACTGTTGTTGATTCATAGTCCATCTTTATCCAGTTCGTAATGGAAAACGGAAAAGGACTCAGATAAAAAGGCAGAAACTTTGCAGTAAAGTTTTTTTCTCTCCCTTCTCTCCTATGACCTAGATAGTCTCTCTGGTTTCAGATTGGCTAAAGCTCCAGAATATTTTTGTGACTTAAGCATACACTCTCAAATGCTTCTCTGGAAAAAGCTGTTTGGAACCGTTAAAAAAAAAAAAAAGTCTAAGAATATGCCCTTCCTCTTTTGGCTTTGGTGAGGGAAGGATTCATGGAAGTGATAAAATTATAGCGGGGTTGCCGGGAAGGTGGAAGGAAAGCCATCGCGCCAACAACTCTCCAGGGCATCCTGAACAGGAAGATGTATGTCAACACAAAACCCTGGACATTTTGTGTGAGGCGAGGTCAGATTTCCTCATGGTTCTGTCAGTGGACATTCTTGTTCCTTCCAACCCGTCTTTTTAAAAAAACTGTGTGAATATTAAATTCTTTGAAGAGCCTTCCAAGATATTTCCATGTGGGATGGAAACACACAAACACACACACACACTCACACAGATTTCCAGATTGCCAATTTTCATCTCTAGAATAGAAACTGTATTTTAGTGTATCCATCTATCCTTTTCTTTCACTTTTCTTTCTTTACCTTTCTTTTTCTTTCTATTTTTCCTTCCTTCCTTCCTTCCTTCCTTCCTTCCTTCCTTCCTTCCTTCCTTCCTTCCTTCC